AATCATTATTATATATTTCAAAAACAAATAACATTTACATGTCTCCAGTTTATATAAATATCCTACACAAATATTTACAATACATAAAGAGCGTTAACAAGTTACAATATATAAAAAGCGTTAACTGTTTTGCGCATGCGCGTTGGACATCGAGTTAAAATAATAAACTTAAAAATTCGTAGTTTATAATATAAAGTGCTATTAACCCATGCATTCAAAAAATCTACGCAAGTCCGTCGCACCACAGGGCTACTAGAGACTTGCTTGTCGTTGTCGTTGAAACTGTATATTAATATATATTAATAGTACTATGTAGTTGTAAGGAAACTCGCAGAAGACTAAGAAAAGTCTTTTCATCGAGAACCTTCAAAATACAAAATAAACTAAAAGTTTAAAAAGTAAATCTATAAAATACACATTAACTTTTTGAAGTCATCTGTTCAGTAATATTTTACTATGTATAGTTGCTAACTATATGTATTTATTATATATTTTTTTAATTTAGTTTTTATTTCTTTTTTATTTTATTTTTATTTTTATAGTTTAAATTGTTTTTTTTACATTTTATTATATAAATTGTTCTTTTATGTTTAATACATATCGATAAAAATGGTTTCGTTAATTATTAGAACTTTTAGTTGTTTCTTCAGGGTAGAAAAATTATCCAGTTTAGTAAGTTCTATACTTTGAGGTGTTATTTTGTTGTATAAATAGGGGCCAGGGTATACAATTGAAAATCTCGAAAAATTTGTTTTTTTTTATGGGCAACGTAAAGTTTCCGGTTCCTCGTGTGATATATCTGTTGGCGTTGGTTTGAAAAAAGTTAATAAAATGAATTGGGATAAGTCCGAGCTTATATTTGAACAAAAATAAAATATTTTGGTAGATGTTAATTTGATAGATATTTAAAGCATTCAAGTTTTTAAGAAATCGTTTCGTCAATAATTATCCTAAGAAATTTAATAGTTTCAGTTCTTTCAATGCTAATGTTATCAATTTTTAATAATGGTAAAATGCTTGGTATATTATTTTTTGCTGGTTTGAATGAAACAAGATGTATTTTGTTTTTACTGTATTTATTGATAATTTATTTACTTTAAACCAAATGTTTAGACTCTCAAGGTCATAGTTTGCAGATTAAAATTTTCAATTGGTGCTGATGAATAAAATAAATTTGTATCATCAGCAAACATTATTGTACCGAGCTTTTTTAGTGATTGTGGAAGATCGTTAATATAGATTAAAAATAAAAGAGGACCAAGAATGGAACCTTGGGGTACTCCGCATTTTATTTTTAGGAAATTAGAATATTTATTATCGTTTGAAATAACACATTGTTGTCTGTTGCACAGATGACTTTTAAACCAATCTAGGCTAGTATTTGTTATTCCGTGCTATTCCGTTTTTTTTAGTAGGATATCATAATTAATTGTGTTAAATGCTTTGGAAATTTTGCCCCGCGTTACCCTAAGTTCCAACTCCATTTTAAATTTTTTAGCCAAACTTGTAAACCTATATCCTAACGATAGGATTTGTTTCTTAGAAACAAGAGCATTCATTTCAAAAGCTTCGATCCATTAGAAATTTTGGGTGGTGTTAAGAAAAGATTTTAAATCTAAGCATTATTAAACTAATTTTTTCGTTCTTTGCAGTTGTGCTTGTGATATAAAAAAATAGGCAGCAATGCAAAATAAAAAAAAAAAACGGTAACCGAATTTTATAATTCTTTTTTCTAGTTCTAGAGGTTACTGCTAGATTAAAAGTTTTCGAGACCTCGAACTGTTTAAAAGCAGTAGCCCCTAAACTAAAATAACGCTATAAAAACAACAATTAAAATAAGTTTTCTTAAAAAATTAGCGGAGTCTAGGGCTATAGTCTCCCTTTTCCTTTAATCCAGCATTGCCAAATTTTTAAAAATACTTGAGAATATATATATATATATATATAGAATATATATATATATATATATAAAACTATATATATATATATATATATATATATATATATATATATATATATATATATATATATATATATATATATATATATATATATATATATATATATACCCCTTCCTCCTCCCCCCCTCCCTTCATTGGTTTTTCATATAAGTAATTTTGAAGAAAATGACTAAAAAAATGGCTAAAAAAAAAGGTCTTCAAAACTACTTCGGGGTAGTACTGCCCCCATTATAATTTTTGTTCCTACGGGCCTGATCTATATATTCAGTCCCTGGCCACAATTTTATGATCACCTACATTTTTTGTGTATTTTTAACTTCAAGGTTTGTAAAAAGTATAAAAAAGGTAAAATTGCAATATCAGATTAGGGATGGCAATTCCAGGATCTCGAAATTCCGGGATTTCGTACAAATTGTTCATCCTAAAATCCCCGGGTAAATCTCGGAAGTTTCCCGGAAATTCAGGATCGTCAAAAAAAGTAAAGTTTAATAAAGTTTAAGCTTATAATTGCAATTAAGTAATTTGTACATCGTCTTTGGAATAGTAGATGATTGGTTGTGTAACTATTTATTGAATTTGCAATGTTTTCCTTTTAAAACTCTTTCTCTCTATTTTATTAAAAATAAAAATTCAAAACGTTTTGGCTTGATTGCAAAACGTTTTGGCTTGATTGCATATATATATATAGTATAAGTATATATATAGTATAATATTAAAACTAGTATATTACAAAAAACAAATAAAATTTAAGAGCTTGCTAATGGAAAGAGCAAGAGTTTTTAATTGAAGGTATACCATAATTTAATTTTAAATTTTCGGCTTCCAAAAGTGTGCGCAATTTTAATTTCATTATCATATCCATTCATTTTAATTTCAAACGTGTACGTGATTCAAATTCCATTTTTTATTACATTAATTTTAATTTCAAATATGCGAGTGATTGACGAAAGTTTTTATAACGTCAATTTATTTAATAAAATTATCAAAAAGTTTTATTAAATTACAAAATTTTCTCATCGTCCGTTTAATTGATGAAGTCTTGCATATTTATATTATTTTTTAGTTATTATTTTTATTTAAACTGTGTTGCAATTTTAATGTATTATTTTATAATTTAATGTACTTAGTTTCATTAATTTTTGAAAGTTGTAGATAACTTTTAATATAACAAAATTAACATGTTTTTAATTTAATAAACATATTTTTAACTTAATTTTAGGTTCATTAATGTATTAAATATTTTAGTTATACTATTATTTAAAAAATCACTTTTAAGTGTTTGATGAGTACTTAAAAAGTTTTTTTCTATAAAATCCCGGGAAATCCCGGGATATCCCGGGGACAAATTTCACTATCCCGAAATCCCGGGCTTGAAAATTTCCGGGATTTTTGTCATCCCTATATCAGATATACTTCCTCAATAATAAAATAATATTTCAAAATCAATTTACATTTCAACAAACAAATACTCTTTTTGATTGCAAGTTATAAAAAAATATTAATATTTTGTCATCCCCTCTTTTAACTGAATGACTCTAGCTATTCGGTCTGGCATACTTTTAATACAGTTTATAGAAGCCTAATTTTTTCATTGTGGTGCCAATATTACAAATTTTTCAATAAAATCCCTTATGTTTGTTGAAATCTTGGAAGTGATTTCCTTCTTGAGAATGTTCCACAAACTCTCAATTGGATTCAGGTCAGGAGAGTTCCCTAGCCAGTCTAAAACAGGGATATTTTTATTTTTAAGAAATTTTCTGATGCTATTAGCTTTATAGCATGGAGCACTATCATACATAAACGCAAATTTATTGCCATTTGGAAACCATTCTTTTTTTGGGAGATAAGCCGACTCTCCAGAACCTCTCCATACTGTATTTGGTTCAAAATCATTGGCAATATATAGTCTTCCTGTGCCTGTACATTGACAACCGGCCTCACCATAACTTTATTTGGATGTTTAATAGTTTGTACAATAAAATTTAGACAATATTTTATGTTTGGTCTTCTTCGGACGAAGATGGTTTTGTACAACAAGATCTCAAAAGTTGATTTTTCTGAAAAAACACACCTGAACAGCGTTACTTTTTATATTTATTATTTGTGCTTAATTTATTATTTGTATTGAAAAAAGTTTTTATTATATGTATGAAAGAAAAAAGAAAACAAAAACTTTCTTTTTAAAATTGACAAAAATTCACATATTTGACATGAAACACACCTAACTTCACATTCGTCATGATTATAAAGAATTTCCATTTCTATTTTAATCAATAGAAGTCAGTATTGTATAATGAGTTAGTAATAATAATATACTCACCTTAAAACTACTTTAAAATAACTTTGATTTCAAAATAAGTGAAAAAAACTGAGGGGATCATAATACTGTACCATTTAAATTCACCAGCATTTAAACAGTTTATATACAAAAAAAAAAAAATTAATTAATCTTTATGGCGTTTTAAAGTAATAAAACAATTTGAAAAAAAAACTGAAATTGGAAATTGAAAACTATTAATGTCAATTTTATCGAAAACTTTGTGATTTTTCACAAGTTGCTTATATTTTATGTTTATTATATTTATTGTTTTTGAGTTAAATACTTTGCAGAAATTCATTTATGTTTGTATTTTTAAACGGTTTTTTCTTCATGATTTAATATATGACTGATGAGTGTCAAAAATGGCATAAAACTTTAAGTACCATTAAAAGGTAGTTTTTTTTATCTAACCTTTTATTTATTTATTTATCGATCTATCGATATATATTTATTGCTTTAATATATTGAATATATATAATTTCTTGAATATATTGAATATATATAATTTCTTGAGTATATTGAATTTATATAAATTGCTTGAATAGTATAATATTTAGTACGCTTAGTATGATATGCCAAGTAAATAAAAAGATTTTAAAAAAGATATGGAAATTTTTTTTCTTATTATTAACATATATTATTACATATTGTTAGCCTTGTATCTTTTGTTTAAAATTTATTCTTAAAACCAAATCTTAAATATATATATAAATATATTTACAGGAAATAAATAATCAAATAATTTACACGCATTTAAATAGTTTATGTACAAATAATTTAACATGCTAATATAAAGTATTTTTGTCTTTCCCAAAAATCTCTTTTCATTGTTTTGTACATGATTTCCAGTTGTTTCAAAGTTATAAAACTGCTTTTTGCATGGCTATATTTTGAAACTAGTTGTTGATAGCTCTGAGTATAAACCTTTGAAGATCGGTCGTCAAGAGATAAACAACCACAAGTTGACAGCTCCTAGATTTTGTTCAAAAAGTTAAATTTTTATTTTGCTTTTTAAAATTTAATTTTAAAAATATATTATTTAAACAACATACCGTCAACACGTTATTAATTTTTTGCATAAGACTTTTTAAAATCTTTTGTACAGACAATATATCGTTAAAATAATTTACTCTTGCACCTTGAGACTCATTGTTCGACATAAGAAAAAGCGATGAAAGTATTTCATTTAATATGCCAAGATGAATGTTTAATGCATCGTGAATCTGAAATATTCAAAAATTACTGAGCGATTATTATTTTAACCATCACTATTTTGATGGTTTTAAAACATTAAACTGTGCAAGAGTGTTTTGAAATCTTATATAACGTTGTTACAAAAAATACTATTTTCTCACTTGAAAAATCATATAATTGCTAAAAAGTTACCTTTTCAACTTTTTCCAAATAAGGAGGTGATAAAAAAGATTCAGAAGATGTGTAAAAGCAACTAGATGGATTGCTAGACAAGAGTTTCTCTTCGGAAGCTGCTAAAATTCCCTGAAAAACCATTTTGCTTTTTAACAATGAATATTGTTTACATTGCACATTGGCACTACACCTTGCACTATGTAAAAATAGAATTGTAAAAAAGTATGTAAAGAAAGCATTACGTACCATATTGCACTTTAGCTGTGATATAGTTGAAAGCTGTGTTTGATCTGTGATCACGTTAACAGCCATGTCATAAAACAACTTGTTAGCTGAACATTTTGTTAAGTTACATGTTTGCACATTATTAACTTTACGAAAAGTTGGAGGGGGTAAGTTAACATTTAGACTTTTATTCGTGTTCGTTTTGTTTGTAGACAAGTTAGATATTCCAGAGTAATTTATAAGTAGATATTGATTATTTACATACGTGCTGTTGTTATTTTTGTTGATTAGACTTCCTGTTCTGTTTGTGAGATTTGTTGAAATAGTATTTGAATGAGCTACATACATAGATCCGGACTTGTCATTAAAAATAGTGGCAATGTTGTTCGTCGAAAAAATAGTTCTTTTTCCTTTAATTAAACTCCATAGAAGTATTAAAGACATTCCAATCAGAAGCAATGTTAAGACCAAATTTTCTAAAGATAGTTTTATGAAATCTAAAGGTCTAAATAAAGCAATGTTTTGATCGTAAACTTTTACGATCAAAGTGTAAAGCTTCGTAAGTTATTGAGAACTATAGAATTTACAACATTAAAAAAAAAAAAGAAAAAAAAGAACTTTACTTATTATTGTCTTGTTAACGTTCATTTTTTAAATAAGTCAGTTATCTCAAGAGATAAAAAAATGTTTTGATTTTTTTTTTCTCATTTTTTTTCTCTATATATACTATTAGTTTCTTAGAAACTTAGTCAAAGCTCATATTATTTTTTCAAGACAAAAAGTTTTTACTGAATGAAAAAATTCCCAAGTAATTTTATTTCTAAAAAAACCTAAAAAAAAACTATATTTTTCGTAAGTTTCGTTTTATTGTTTTTCTAAGCGCCTTTTTAGTTTTCAATCTTAAAATACGTCATTTTTTTTCTTTTGTCTAAGCTCAATATCAAAGCTTTTACCTGAAAGTTATTAAATTATTTGCCATGAAAGCGCAGCAATCTAAGTTTAGCTTGTCGGGAGAGCATTGTGGTTATTTTTTATTTCATGTCATCAAAAAATAAGCTTTAACTAATTCAGTGATAAAAACGTAAAAAGCGATCATTAAAGTTTAAATAAAGAAAAATTAAAAATAAAATATATTAATATAAATAACAACGATGAAAATAACTAAAGTTAAAACGTAAAAACCAATCATTAAAGTTTAAACAAAGAAAAATTAAAAATAAAGCAACATATTTTAAAAAACAACGATGAAAATAACTAAAATTACAACGAGTTAGAAAATGTTACAATAATGAAACAAATTTATGAATATTATTCCGCTAAAGTTGTTTTAGAAATAGCTAAAATAAAACTTTTTTTTAATTTAATAAATACCTGACTACTTAAGAATTTTTGCGTAACATTAGGGCGATATTGTTGTTTATTATACAATAGCGGTACACATTAATTAATTAAATCACAATATTTTTGCTATATCAACGTCGACTTATATTGTCAAGTCAATAATAGCTAATAATGGCGAATCACTGGTTAGAAATATTGGTGTAATTAAGTTTAAAATATTGTAAAACACAACGCGCCAAAATTAGCTTCACAATATTGTCGATACAATATCAGCTAATATTGTTAAAATATTCACATCTATCAAACTAAGAAGTTCTCGAATTATATAATAGTGGTTATATTAGAGTTTTATTAACTTTATTCAACAGTGTTGATTAAGTACTACTGTATATACTGATCAACAGTATTACTAGAGTAGCAAAGAAAATTAGTACGATTTTGTTTATAATATTGGCGCAAAGTTGTAAACTATATTACGCCAATATTGACTATTGTCTTCTGCTAATATTTGTTAATAAAAGTTTTTAAAAGATAAAAGTGGATAAATAGGCTATAGTCTAGAAGGCATTAGTAATGCAAAGTGCATTTAGACTTTATAAACTTAAAATGAATGAAATTTTAAATATATTTTAATCTTATTTATTTAAAGTAATATGAAAAATATACAAATGAAATAATTTGATACGGAGTATAAACTGTTCCAAAACCAAAATATAACAAATAAAACGATAATGGTTACATGAATACAAAAATAAAATTTGACAATTAAGTAAAATTATACTGTAATTGTATTACAGTATAATTACTGAAATGCTTATATAAACTTTTTTATACAGCATATCTAAAGTAGGAACTATTGTGAATACAAGAGTTCTTCAACATATATATTTTTTTATTTCCTCTACCTACTACTACCTACTACTACTACTACTACTACTACTACTACTACTACTACTACTACTACTACTACTACTACTACTACTACTACTACTACTACTACTACTACTACTACTACTACTACTACTACTACTACTACTACTACTACTACTACTACTACTACTACTACTACTACTACTACTACTACTACTACTACTGCTACTACTATTACTACTACTACTTACTACTAGTATTTTATAAAATTTACCCAGCCAGCACATAAACGTCTAGTAGACGTGTCAACATCATCTTAGACCGGCGTCTAAACGAAATCTAAAAATCATCTATGTTTACACTTTTTAGACGTCTAAATTCTGACATCTTTAAGACATCTCATTTCAGAAATCTTAAAGACACCTTGAGGTTCACATCTTTTAGACGTCTAAACTTAGATTTTATTAAGACATTTTATATTAGTGATGTTTGAAACATTCTGTTTTAAACTATCTTAAAGACACCTCTTATAAGTAGTTATAAGTTGGCTACTCATCTCATATATGAGATAAATAACTGTTATTGTTGCTTGTTATTTTTTACGTTTTTTGTTAGTTGATACAGTTTTTCAATTTAAATGTGATAACCAAATGCCTTAATTACGCGGCAAATAATTGGCATATATAACTTCACGGAACTTTTCACGGAAGTGCTTCGGAAAAACTTTAATAACTATCAGACATCTTAAAGGTGTCTAAATAAATTCAATTAGGATGTGATCGTCTTGAAAATGTCATTTAGACGTCTCATTTTTATCTCAACATCTCAAGAATTTGCATAAAACTTAGATGTCTTAGCTGCGTCTAATAGATTCGTTTAAAAAACTACATTTAAAAATTGATTGTCTTTAAGCATCTTTTAGATGTCTCAAACATTTCGTAAAAATTAGATGCCTAAACTGAGTCTAATAGACTTCTAAAAAAAGATATCTAAAATTTGATCATTGTTAAAGCGTCTTTTAGATGTCTTACTTTTATTTTACTTATCTCAAGACGTCCGAGACGCTAAAAAGACGTCTAATAGACATCTTTGTGCTTGGTGGGTAATTGCATCAATACTTTTAACTTCTTTCTCTTCTTATTTATAAGACTTAATATTTACAATCTTCATTTAGCCTTAAGTTTTTTAAAAGTAGAACCAATCAAATCATTCAATAGTCCCTATCGGCACATCTAGTTTCTTTTTCGGAAATAAAACCTATATAGGCACGTGTTTTTCACGATCCAGGCGTAAACCAAAAGCACGTGTTTATTACGGGCAGTTTTACTAGAGTTTAACACGTGTTTTTTGAGGTTTTAAAGTCAAATTTAAATGTTGCATGTTTTTATCTGTGGTTTCACATTCCTTACGGAAAGTTATTAAAATATAATACTACGTTTCCATAACGGTGAAACCATTAATACTTTAACTGGTATTTATGGTAAATAGTAATAGTTAATTTCACGGAATAAAAACCATTTAGGATACGTGTTATTCTTTTTGTTTTAGAAGGTTTTAAAAACGCAACAGAAACCAAGCGTAACTATTTTCTGAGTTGTGCCGGCTGGGGTGAACCTTTTTTAAAAGTAGAATCAATCTCGTCATGTAACAGTGAACCCTTTTAATATAATTTATATCTTATTTATGACGCAATGATCTCACAGGAACTCCAAAACTAATAAAAAGTCTAATAAATGCTTAGTATAAATTTTTTTTTTAACTCTATTTCAAATATACAGAAATTTATATTAAATTTATAAAAAGATTTCAACATCATTATATTTCATTAAGCATCTTTAATATAGAGCAAAACGTACTTGCTTTAAGAAATCTACGGTATGAAACCTGGCCACATAAGCAATATTGGTAAAGAACGCGACGTAAACTCTGAGACAGGGCCAGTAGGAGTCCCTAAATACCCCAAAATAAAAAAACACAATAATATTTGTTTTTGATGAGCACAAAATAATCTTTTTTTTCTGAAAAAGCTTCTGAAAATGTTTGGAATGTCAATTATAAAATGTTTGACATGTTGTTAAAAATAAATTTGGGACGTTATTTAGAAAATGTTTTCCATCTCATTTATAAAAATGTTTAATATGTCAATTATAAAATGTTCTGCATAATGTTTAAAATATTTTCGGCTCGTCATTTACATTATGCTTGGAACGTCAAATATAAAGTGCTTTGCATATCATTTGTAAACTGCTTGGCACGTCACTTAAAAAATGCTTGTCACAGTTAGTAAAAATCTGATTTGACACTTAAGTCAGTTCCTGAGTAAACCGCGATATACCTGTAAAAGCTTATGACCATAGAGTCCCAAAAATGTAAAAATTTAAATCATCTGCCTACGTCCGAGAAAGAAAATCAATTTTGAAAATTTTCTTCATTGCACAAATATGTGAAATGACAGCATGCCCAAAATTTTGCATCTTTACAGTGTTTGTCAACAATAAAATTTTATATTTATTCAACATGTTAGATTTCATAATAATTTATACTACTAAAAAGTAGTACAAATTATTTGCCTGCGGGCCCATTCTTCTTTGCATCTATGCACATGGTGTACTGCTGAAAGCTTAAATCTTGCAAACTGTGGGACTCCAAGAACATTTGGCTTTTTGAAAGATTTATTAAGTGCTCTCTCTGCATCAGGTGAAAACACCAAAAACGCCAAGAAGTTTGGAAATGTGAATCTGAAGCCTATTCTTTCTTTTGGGAATTCTTCTTTGTTAATGGATCTTATTCTACCTATGGAGTTGCATCTTCTTCAAGATTCTCAAAAATGTATGGCTAAAAGCAGATGATTGGCTTCACAGCTTCAAGCTTTACACATAAAGCAACAGCACTTTCACGGATGTAATTTTGCAGGCAATGACTGAAATAAGCTGCTAAAAAAAACCTGGATCTTTTGCAAACTATTTCTGAAAAAGAAAATGCTTTTCAAGTTTTTACCATCATTGATACCTTGCAAAAATTAGCTGATGTGGTATCATCCTGTTTTGGCAACAAATTGCATGTGTAATTTGAAGAATTAATAAATGCTTTTAAGAGTTCTTTTCAATCCTTGTCCATTCGAAGTGTCATACCAAAAGTTCATGCAGTATTTTTTCATGTTAAAGACTTTGTAAAAGAGAAAAAGATGCCACTTGGAATTTATAGCCAACAAACAACAGAAGCAATGCACCACTGCTTTACTTTACATTCGAAAGATACAAACGCCCAATAAGTCATCCAGAATATAGAAAAAAGGCTTCTTATGTGCCTTGTTGATTTCAACAGTAAGAACTTTTGATGTGAGCTTCAGCCAACGCAAGAAATTACCTAAGAATAATCAGCATTAGAGACAAAATGCATCATGAAATTTAAGAAGAAAAAAATTCTAAAAAAGAAATTCCATGTCAAGTCATGTACAATTAAAGTATTTTTATATATGTTGCTTGTATTATTTCATTATGAATAATGTA